ATAAGACCATTTGTTATAAAAATATTTGGTTGTCCTATCTCCCGATCTACTGCCTAGAAATGGCCCGACTCAATTTTTTTTTAAACCCTATCACACGATATTTTTTTCTTCCGTCAACAAATATGTTTAAATTTTAAGGAATTTTTTTCTCGCCTATAAATACCGACCCAGTAATTTTTCCCTGAGTTGGGAGGACCATCAAACGTCATTTTAAAGATGGTATAAAATATTCAATTATATATGTTGATTTTTTCTTTACTCTGTAAAATTGTAATGTTGACAAAATTGGCAAATAGAAAAAAACTTTTTTTTATCTATCAAATAATCATCTAACCCATACTGAATGATTTCATTCCTTTTCAAATGTTGCTCCCCTGTTGTAAATGTTTATTTGACAGAGTATACGATGGGTGATCAAAAAGTAAACGATACCTAATGTATTTGATAGTTATATTATTGTTGAAATATTCAAGTATCTTTCGAAGTGTAAACAGGAGGTCTTTGATAGCATATTTCTTAATTAAAACTTTTCAAACTTTCTGTCACCGGGCAACATAACAAGTATCATATTCAACCATCTGCCTTCCTTCACTAAAACGATCCATCCAATCATTGATTGAATTTATAGGAAGTCATTTGTCTTAATAAACTGAGAACAAATTCTTATACCTACTTCAGAGGCATTTTAAAGATATAACATAAATATTTTAGTCGTTTGTTAAACAAGTTCCACTGAGACAACCAATTTTCGTCACAAGTACCTGCATAATGACGTCATTTTCATTGTGAGCAAAACTTTATTCAGCATATGCTATTTATAGAATTGTGTTTGGCTATGTGTGCACCAAATTTGTTTTTAATCTGAATTGTGATTTTGTTGATACACATGTATAGAGATAGTTTGCGGACTTTTTGATCACCCCTAGTACCAGAAGGTACTAAAACAAGGCCATTCATATCGATTTTATGTGTTTAATTTCTTTGTGTGTCAATGGTGATAATTAAACTTTTGATAGATATTATAAGTTATCTGTGGCAAACTTACAAACTCTTAATTTTTAACTTTGATGGTGCTCATTTTTCCTTACCTTGAATCAAAGAGTTTAAGATTTTTTTTTATATCAATACGTACACTTTTTAACAACTGCTCGATAATAATGCTAAATAAATAACTTCAAGAAACACTATAACACATTTCCTCTTTTAAAAGTGTTCATATTATTTGAAATATTTTGCAACTGTAATTCTCTTCTACATTTAAAGATTGTTATGTCCCTCGATATTAAAAATAGGTCTGGAAAACAAAATTCTGTGCTAAAAATAGACCACGTGCTGCTATCCATGAACTACTTTCATGGTTCTTTACACTCTTTTTGAAGACAAGATACATTGTTTTGAACTTAAAATTATCATTTTAAAGTGCAAAATTTAGACACTTTCTCAACAAATGGTTGTAGAGAGAACATTAATGCGCAGTTTGCGTATTTTTTTTGGGATTTTTTAAGGCTTTGCTGAATTCTGTAGCTGCGCATGCGCAGTTCTAAGGAGCATATCAAAAGCATTTTTCTGCAAAAGTATACATTACATATGCACAACATGCATTCAGTTATGCATATTTATTGTATCTTTATCATAAAGACTTAAAATTTGATCAAAATATAATGTATTTTAGCCATTTGAAGAAATGTTCTCACTGCACTAAAGGTGGCCGTAAACCCCCCTTAATCTTTAATATGTGTATAGAGGATACTTTTTATATACAAGTAGAATATTTATCAAACTGTAATGAGGATCATATGAGATTGTTCAAGCCAGACGTTATATCATCTTCATTTCACTTGCTAAATAATATCCTTTAGTAAATAAAAATATTTACAAAATAAAGGATCGTACGGGATTTGAACCCGTGACCTAACACATTATAGAGAACACCAAACACGTAATGAACGAATATCTGTTTTACGAACGGTAAAATTGTTTACTTTGTGATTACCTGTGTAACTAACGAAACGTACTGACGAATCACACGTATAGGAAAATAAAAATTATTTCTCAATTTGATAAGTATAATGGTTTTGGTGTTCCATGTACCAGTTTGATATAAATATATGCATATGTTCATGTGCGTATTTATTGATTCCTTTAAATTAGCTTATAATAAATGGAAATTCATCCATATTACATATATCAAATCATTGGCAGACCAGAGGGAGTCCGGGGGGTTGACCCCCCTTAAAAGATCTGAAGATTTTCGCGTATTTGCTTTCCTCCGTGTACCTTCACAACCCCGTCTAAGAGCTCCGACCATACACAAGTAACATACAAGGAAGATTCCAGAGAACTAAATATTTTTAATCAGCATAGAAAACTGTGAAAGTTTCTTTAGTATGCAGAAGGATGGGGTCCTTTTTCTGAGAATAATCTTTTGATCCAGTTATAAATAATATTTTGTTTTGGAAGCTCCCTCCACATCATTTGTTGCCGAAAATTCGAAGATTCAAGACTGAAAGTAACAAACATAAAAGTGACACGAAGCTCCCCTCTACCGCCTCCAAATTGTAATGCATAGTTTTTTTTCTTGTTTTGTTTTTGTTTGTTTGTTGTTTTTTTTTTTTGGCTCGTCAAATGTTTTAGGAGCTCCCCTTCTTATAAAGGAAGTTACAAAATTGAAGTGGCCATGGTGTGATTCTATGCATGAGTGCTGGGTACACCGACTTGGAACACCCCCCCCCCTCCGGACTCCTTTTCAAAAATTTCTGCTAAACATAGTTTCACAGTCGAAAAACTAGGTTTATCGGTTGTAAACTATAGTTTACGGACTGTTAAGTATATTTCACAAGTTAAACTTTAATATATATTTTATATTTATAAATCAAAGTTAACGCGATAATTCATGTTTCACAAGCCTAAACTATACTTAACACTGAAAACAATCATTTGCGGTTGCAAAATATAGATTACATTTATCTGATAAATACAGTTTCACGATGTGTAACCTATGGTTTACAACTCTTAACTATATTCACAATCTGATAAATATAGTTTGACGGTTATTGAAACTATGATGAACAACTCTTAACTATAGTTCACACTTGTAAATTATAGTTTACTATGGCACGCCAAATTCACAAAAATGAGCTTAACATAGTTTCACAGTCGATAAACTAGGTTTATCGAATGTAAACTATAGTTTACGGACTGTTAACTATAATAAACAATGTTAATCTATATTTTACATCCGTAAACCATGGTTAACGCGATAATCTATGTTTCACAACTGTAATGTTTCCAGATTTATTTTGGAACTGACATTCCACCTCGTGAAGAGGGTAAAAAACTACAAACAAGAATCATAAATGTATATTCAAAAAGAATAGTAAACATATGACAAATATATCATCTACGTTTACCAAAATACATAATAATTGACATTGACAATAATTTCTCGAACTTGACTATAGACAAACAGACTGACATTTAGTTAAAACTTATCCAGACAAGTGAATTTAACAGTATCATAGGTAAAAAACAATTCAAATATGTCCTTAACATTATTTCTCATGAATATTTATGCATTTAAATAATTACTTACTCCTGTGAGGCTAGGGAGAGATCAAGCACATGTTAAAATGCTGCTCCATTAACTTTGGCGGAAACATAAACAAAAACATAGTAATCAAACCCGTACCCGGAAAAATTCCGGATCGGGAACTTTACACTCCCCCTCTGACTTTGTCAAAAATCACTTAACAACAAAAATTTACCCTGAGCATTAATTGTGTTCATGCGTATGAAAATAACATAACTAATTGTTACGTAAAATGTTGATAAATTGTTCATATGTAAAATAGCAATTACATAAGTGACCAATGTGTATCTCACATAGAGGACAAAAAACAGAATGTTCATTCCTCAACTTCCAGCAAAAGAATTAGATCTGCTATTGGTCTTGAACACAAAACTTGTTTTCCGTCCTTTACAGTAGCTACTTCTACTTTTCTAACAAGTCCGTCTCCACTTTCGAATGTTCGGCGCACGACTCCCATAGGCCATTCATTGCGAGGGGACTCATCTCTGAGAAGGATCAGATCTCCAGGCTTGGTATTCCTTGACTGTTCTGAGAGAGATAGTATGGTACTGTTGCGTGGAATTCTGTCTGACTCTTTTATGTACTTCATTTCTTCCATATAACTGTCTCTTTGAACACACGCAATTATTGCAAGTTCACTGTCCCTTTACAACTGAGGATGATCAAATCTAGTACAGGAAGTCTCACTCCTTCCTTTGCAGCGAGCCCAATACTTAATACGAGCAACTGTCCTAACCAGTCTTTTCCAAGATGAAAATCTTAAGAAGCAGTCAGAAAAGCGGTTTGATGTTTTAGGGCAATCTTCTGTGTCCACTTCTTGCTTGCAGCTAGTGACTTCTGGTCGAACTTCAATGTCATGTTCCGGATTAACAAGTTCAAACTCTGACTTGGTAGTTATTTTTCAGATGTCTCCCCTGGACCACGAAGCCATGCTGAATCTTCAAGTTGTGACGCGTCAATGCTACGAGTCGCGACATCTGCAGGATTACATTCTGTTCTAACGTGATGTCATTGCGATGGTTGGCTAAAAAGACGAATTCTGCCAACACGATTAGCAACATAAATGTAAAACCTCCTTGTTTCATTGGAAAAATATCCAAGCACAACTTGACTATCTGTAAAGAAGTGAAAATTGTTCTGAGGAATCTTCAGTTGATCTCGCCTATTTTCTGCAATCTCGGTAGCAAGTACAGCTGCACACAACTCTAGGCGAGGAATTCTGTGCCCATGTGTTGGTGCAAGTTTTGCTTAACCTATCAGAAATCTGATTGTAGATTTTTTCTCATCATACAACTTAAGGTACGCAACTGCTGCCACTGCATTCTTTGACGCGTCCGCAAATACCAAAACCTCTCTATGGGTGGCATCCTCAAACGAGATATCGCTGTACATTCTAGGTATGTGAAGAGTCTCAAGATAGCTTAAAGAGTTCATCCATGAGATCCATTTGTTGTAGTGGTTCTGGAAATGGGTCATCCCAATCAGTTTTACTGGTCACAGACATCATTTCACGAAGTAAGAGTTTTCCTTCAATGATGACAGGTTGTAAAAAGCCAATAGGGTCGAAGACACTGTTGATTACAGATAAAAGTCCACGTCGAGTGTAAGACCTTACAACAGAATTGACTTTGAATGTAAAGGTGTCTGTATCTGTATTCCAAAGTAGGCCTAGACTTCTCTGAGTGGGAAGAGTAGCTGTTCCTAAATCAAGATCCTTTAAATCATTTGCTAAGTCACCTTGGTCCAGCCCATTAAGCACCTCTCTGCTGTTTGACGCAAACTTATGGAGTCTTATTCTGCCGTTGTCATGTAAGGCTTGCTTTGTGCGAAGGGCAAGGTCAACAGTGTGTTCAACAGTTTTGCAGGATACCAATCCATCATCTATGTAGAAGCTCTCTCTGATAAGGTTATCTACATCTTGGTCAGCAGTTTCTACAACCTTGAGGAATCCGTAATTGGCCACTGCTGGCGATGCAGTATTGCCAAATACATGTCTAGTCATTTGGTAATCAACAAGGGGTTGATTGAAGTCATTATTTTGGTGCCATATAAAACGCAAATAACATCGTTGTTCTTCTGGTACTTTGAAATTATAAAACATATGTTGTACGTCCATGGTAATGGCTACCTTTTCCTGACGGAATCGAAGAAGGATACCAACCAGACTGTTCAGCAAGTCAGGTCCTTGAAGAAGCACAGAATTCAATGACACATCTTGATATTTTGCCGACGAATCAAACACCACGCGAATGCTCTCCGGTTTCTTCGGATGGAATACAGCGAACATTGGTAAGTACCATCGCTCAACATTAACAGGTAGTTTGGGAGCCAATTTTGAATGCTCAATCTGTAGAAGCTTCTCTACGAATTCGATGATTTGTTTTTTCTTTTCTGTGTTAGAACGCAAGTTGGCATCAAATGACTTGGCTCTATGCAGGGCCATTGACCGGTTGTCTGGTAGAGGTTGTCTACCCTCCCAAAAGGGTAATGGCGCTTCACAAAATCCGTCGCTAGATCTATGACAACTTGACTCCATGACGTGAAGAAACTTTTTGTCTTCTATTGAGAGGCCTGGTTTCTCATCACACGGTAGACGTGTAAAAATGTCAAATTCTTTCACCAAGATCTCAGTTTCACATGGAATCAAATGTGTGGCTCTTCCACTTGACAATATGGAGGTCTTCAAAACATTGACAGTCTCAGGTTGATGGATCTTACCGAGGCAAACGTTCCCAATTATCACCCAGCCGAGGGGCAGTTTTTGACCAAAAGGTAAGACATCTGTTCCTATTCTTTGATCCAATACATGGTGTGCTGTTATTAGATCGCGACCAATCAAAAGTTCAATATTGACACTCTCATCAATCTCAGAAATACATTTCTCAATATCCTGTAAGTTTGAATATCCTCGCGCAACAGCTTTAGATGGAATCTCGTTCCTGTTGTCAGGTATCTCATCACATTCAATGAGGCTTGGTAATGTGAGAGTACATGATCCATCTAGTGAGCGCACTATATATCCCGATTCTTTCCGTCCAGATGTAACAGATCTTCCTGTACATGTTGATAGCACATATTCTGTCTCTGGGCCACGTATGTTGAAAGCATCTAAAAACGATGGTGATGCCAAGGATCGGTTGCTTTGGTCGTCTATCAGACAGTAAACTTTTCGTTCTCGATAACGTTCTCCCTCTGGAAACACCGACACTAACACAATTTTTGAACAAGATTTAGAAGTGTTTCTGGGTACATCGCATATTTCTGTGCAACATGCATTCACATCAGACTGCTCCCCCTCCTGGACTTTCCTAGGTGCAGAGTCTGGATGAAGAATAGTTACATGTTCCGTCGAATTACATCTTTCACACTTGACCGACTCATGACAGTTCTTTTTTAAATGGCGTTTCTGGCCACAACATTTCAGACAATATCATTTCTTGAAAAGGAAATCAATTCTCCCTTTGTAAGGTTTCTTACAGAGTTTCCGACAATCTCGCAGAGCATGGTTGGAATTTCCTCCATGAATGGGACACCGTACATAGGAAATGTCACTGTCAGTTTCATATTCGAGACGATCTAGTGCTACGGTTGTTTTGCGAACAAATACATCCGACTTTTGTGCCGACTTTCTTTGTGGTGGATGCGCACTGTGTGGCTGAATTCTGAGGTAAGTTCTCCAATATCAAACCAGGGTCATTTCTTAGCAGCGCAAGGTCTCGCAAGAAATTCACCAACACTTGGAAAGGCACATAAGACACTCCATTGTTGACCTTGTACTTGTCACACGTTGTCATCCATTTCTCCCGAAAACACTTTGGCAATTTTCGAACAAAGTCATTTATTCCAGTTGTGGAGTCAAAATATGCGAAGGCTGATCCATAGGCTTCATCACTTTTCAAGGATTCAACCTCAGCAGCTAGGTCGTAAAGATCAAAGTAACGTTTCCTATCATTCTCCATTAACGATGTAAAGTTAATGATCCGCTGCTTCAGAGCATGTTCCACTGCTTCAGGGCTACCGTACTACATGTCCAGTCTTTCCCATATTTGTGTGAGAGCCCTCTCTGGATTGCGAGCATTTGTAGTTCTTATATTTTCGCACTGCAGTTTACACCCTTGTCCGAGGTTGTTCAATAAAAGATCTAGTTGCTCCAATGGGCTAGAATTGATGTCTTTCATAACATTTAGAAAACTGTGTTTCCAGGTAATATACCGTCCAGGTTCACCACTGAATTTTCAAAGTCTTTGTGGAATCATTTGGTTTTTTACGACTGCCTTTGCAAGATCGAATGCAGTGTCCTGCTTTGTGTTAGTCTGTTGCAAAACCTGGGGAACAACGGAAATCAATGAGTTCTGTATAGGTTCGGACACTTTAATATCATGCGCGTCTACATTTGCAGGGGAAGGTCTTTCATTCAGCACTGGATCAGGTGGAGGAGTGTTCATTCTCATATTTTCATTCAAATATCGCTCCATCAAATGTTCTTTATTTGGATCTTGATATTCACCGAAAACACTTTCACCAACGTCTGGAAATTCCAAAACCTTTCTCACGGCTTCTAGTCCAAGGGTTGCCGCTTCCAGTTCTTTCTTACGTGTTAACACAGTTCTGCTGGCCTTGATGGCAACCTCCTGTCTGAACAAATCTGCTTCTTCTTCTGCATACTTCATCTGCGCACGGGCCTGCTCGACTTTTGTAGTGTGAAGTAATAGTGTTTCTGTTAGTTTAGAACTCACTCTAGATGCGGATTCATCAAAGAGTTTCTTGCCCACACTGCTCATGATTCCTTGTTTCCTGAGACCTTGATCCATACAAACAGTCAGCCGAATTAACAGGATTTTTTACTGTAATGTTTCCAGATTTATTTTGGAACTGACATTCCACCTCGTGAAGAGGGTAAAAAACTACAAACAAGAATCATAAATGTTTATTCAAAAAGAATAGTAAACATATGACAAATATATCATCTACGTTTACCAAAAAACATAATAATTGACATTGACAATAATTTCTCGAGCTTGACTATAGACAAACAGACTGACATTTAGTTAAAACTTATCCAGACAAGTGAATTTAACAGTATCATAGGTAAAAAACAATTCAAATATGTCCTAAACATTATTTCTCATGAATATTTATGCATTTAAATAATTACTTACTCCTGTGAGGCTAGGAAGAGATCAAGCACATGTTAAAATGCTGCTCCATTAACTTGGGCGGAAACATAAATAAAAACATAGTAATCAAACCCGTACCGGGAAAAATTCCGGATCAGGAACTTTACAACAACCGTAAACTATACTTAACACTGAAAACAATCATTTGCAATTGCAAATCATAGATTATCTGATCAACACAGTTTCACGAATTGTAAACTATAGTTTACAAACCATTAACTATAGTTAGCGAATTGATAAATATAGTTTCACGATTTGTGAAACTATGATTAACAACTCTTAACTATAGTTTACGATTGTGAATCTATGTTTATCAACAAAATCTATTGTAAGCGCTTATTACAGACCGATAAACTTAGATTATCATTCGTAAAGTATAGTTAACAACCGTTAAATATAGTTTTACAGATGAAAACTATACTTAACGAATCGTTAACTATAGTTTACGGTTTGTAAACTATACTTTACAATCGAAAAACCTAGTGGCGCCATCTTACGAATGAATGTATTTTGAGACGAACTGAATATTGTTTTGAGTTTAATATGTTTTGTTAAAATTACTTGTTGTGAAATATATTTTGTTTTAATTGATAAAATGTGAGAAAGAATGATTTTACATTTGTATTGAATATTCGGTAACACTTGTTTTACTATTGACCAATCAGGTTGCTCGATATAATTGATCATTAATCCAATGGAATTTCAATGGAATTTCATAATTAACAATTCCGTCTTTTTCCAGCATTTTCCGTCCTTTTCCGTCATTTTCTGTCCTTGAGTCATATAAAAGTCAGACGCTGAGAAATTCTAGTCACTCTTCTGCTTATTTTGATTTGGTAGGTCCGTTTTACGGAGCTTTTAGATTTTTGTTAGGATTTTATTTAACTTTTATTTCTGTCTATCTTTTATTTTATTTAGGAATTTATTTCATTTTTTATTTATCTAGTTAGGATTATAGGATTTAACCGTGTAGGACATGAAATAGTAAAATACTATTGTCCGTGATCGGTGGTTTTAAGAACTCGATAGTCCATGACTGAGTAGTTCTGTTCAGTAATTAATTTTTCTAGGATTATTGTATTTTTCAATTTTACTCTACTTTTATTTAATTTTTATTTTAATGCAAACGACGTAACAAAAGTAATACGTTTGCTATCTTTCTCTTTTATGATGACTAAAGTTGATTAATTCAACGAAAGTCAATTTTTATTTTGTTTAGATTCGGTAAATTTAATTTTTCTAGATACGTAAATTTTTCTTTAGAATTTTTCAAAGAATTTTTATTAAAGAACTTGGAGATTTTAATTTTACTTTGCTTCAAACTTAATAAAGATTATTGAATTTAACATTTATGGCCGTAGTATTTACAAGCTGAATCTGTTTAATACAGTAAAGCTTGCGTTAGGTTTAACAAGTCAACGTTATAAATACCCATGACTTGTGTCCCATTTTAATAGATTGTTTTAGGAGTTTAACAAGCTAACCTTTTAATACAGTAAAGCTTGTGTAAAGTTTTACAAGTTAAAGTTATAAATAACTACGACTTGTTTTCATTTTTAGATATTGGGAAATAGATGATAGATTTTTGGATGGTCTTTCGGTCTGCTTTACGCTATTATTTTTCTTATTTTATTAATTAAAACTTATTTTAATTATTTATTATTGTTAATTTGGTATGAATGTGGTGTGAATGCCGTCGTTTGAAATAAATTGTTTTAATAAATTCAATTGTTTGATGTTTATAATCTTATGTCTTCTTTGCGAATGGTACATTTATGAAGGAAGTTGAGTCAAATTATTTATACCATATAGTTAGCAGAACGGCTAGCGTTACAGATACTTTAATATTTGTGGCAAATTTGGTTGAAATTGGCCCAGTGGTTCTAGAGAAGAAGTCAATAATGTGAAAAGTTTACAGACAGACGGACGCCGGACAAAATATGATCAGAAAAGCTCACTTGAGCTTTCAGCTCAGGTGAGTTTAAAAGGGAGCGGGACACTTTGAAAAGCGTGAGAGAAGCCCTAGTTAGTTATTGTATAAATCAATACAAAATAAATATAAAATAATACAAAAGCTCAACGTTTCTTGAGATATCACTATGAAAAGAAAGTGTTACACACAGACGGAGTGTATGAATTTACGACCTTGAACTTTAACCTTTTGACCTCAAAATTTATGCTTTCTTCCTTAGACAATAGAGAGTTGCTATGCTAAATTCCATTGCGAAAGCTTAAAAGGTTCTCCATATCGCGCGAATACGAAAGTTTTACAGACAGACAGAAATAAGGACGGAAGAACAGGGAGACCGAAATAAATACCCCCAGCTTCCAGTGAAAGCGGGGGACAAAACATTTCTTTGGCTAATCTATAGCTGCAGAACTGTAGCTCTCTGCTTGAAAAAATTCGGAGAGATAAAGCAGAGAGCTACAGATCCAAGCGTTGTAAAAACCTTCGATTTACGCCGACTATTTTTTGTCGCTCACTATGGGTATTTTTTCGTGTATTTTATACTTCCCCAAGCTTTGGAAATAATTTTAAATGGTACTTAATAATCAATCATACATTCAACATCTAATTCCTGATCATTTACTTACCTCTCATCGCTAACTATAATGGCTGTTTGTGGTTACGGACGTCAAAATGGAACTCTTTTAAACCGACATTACAAAGCTATAAACAGGACTGTTTTGGACCGTTTAAAGGTAAACAAAGGTCAAATATAAGAGTTAAAATACATGAACTATTATAGGATACCATTCTAAAAGCATGAGAAAGATTAAACTACACGAAATAAATAGAAATAAATACCTAAAGTAGTGACAAAAAATCGTCGGCGTAAATCGAAGGTTTTTACAACGCTTGGATCTGTAGCTCTCTGCTTTATCTATCCAAATTTTCTCAAGCAGAGAGCAACAATTCTGCAGCTAGGCTAATTTATAGCTTATACCCTAACTGCCGCCTCTCTCATAAACTGTCTGGCAGGATCGTCCCAGATAGCAGGTACTGTTAAGACCCAGCCCATATCAGTTTCTCTGATCCCGGAGCCTTCTTCTTCTAGAGATTGTCGTAGCTGACCCCTCAGGAATTTAATGGCCGCAGAAAACACATCCAAAGCCAACATCTCCTTCCCGTCTATAGATTTTATTTTCAAGGCTTTTGAAAGTGGTTCCTGTGAGAACAATGTACAATACAATGTACAATATCTTAAGCATTTTAAGACATACAGTCTGCAAAGTATAAAAAAAGGTCAATATTAAATCGAAGCTTTTATACACAAAATATCTATAAATTTAATAAATATATATATTTTTTTAATTCTAACCTGTAAGCTTCAACCAATAACCTTTTACTAATTTACATCAAATATATATAATTTGATTATCTTTCTGCCTTACTTAAAACAGGGTTAACGTTGTATCTCAGAATTGAAACAGAATAGAAAAGGTCGGGAACAATACCAAGTAGAAGTGAGTTAACGAGGTTCGGGGGTCGCTGCCATTTTAGACTGTTTTTAACTCTACACAAAAAAGATTTTCACTCTAATGTCACGTAACTCTTTCAGGAGTTATCGTTCATAAAACGCGCTCTTCATTCAAGTAAGGTAATAATAGACCATAACAACAACAATGGTGAAGGTAAACATCCAGAAACGTAGAGACAAGAACGGGCGATTTATTAGTGAAAAACAGGGAAAAGACATTTCTATTGATATAAATAACAACAACAGCAACGATGTTTCTTCACATATGCCGTTTGAAGTGCATGCACTACACGATCATGCATATTTCTCCAAAAAGAAAACACCTCTCCAAGTAGTGAGTTTATCATCAGCACCAGTGTTCGAAATCCCGCCAAATGACAATTCCACAGTTTCATTCGGGTAATTTATTTCATTATTATTAAAATTTAATCTATCTTATAAACATGTAAAATAATTAAGATGAGTGAAGAGACGAATTTTTTCCTTTTTACCATAAAATAATAAATAAAAAGGAAAATAATTATTTGATAAAACTCAATAAAAAATTTGCAACAGGAACTATATATAAATGGGGCAAAGGGGGCCATAGATTAATCTAAGAATTTTCATTATTTTATGTTTTCACAGAGAGAAGAATCTCACTCATCCCAAGAGCCATGGGCGGATTACAACACTGGAAGCAAATGAATGATCTGGAAGATGCACAATATTTTCAGGGTATTTTTTTTTTTAAACATTATCATGTTGTTTATATTTGAACTATGAGTTATATCCTTATGTGGTAAAATTTTACCAAAGGCAAAAGAACATGTTATATGAAGTTCAGGTAATGAGTGACTTTTTCATAATATATCATAATCATAAAATATATCATAATGAGATATTGCTTTGTCATTAAAATCAAATCAATACACGTTGTAATAAAATGCATTTTAATACAGAAAATCCCAGAAAGTTAAATTGGAAGGAAGGCAGAAGAGTAATTGAAATACCATTTCTGGCAGACAAACTTTATCAGGGATGCATTACATGCCATCAACCATTGCATCTGAAAGACATTATTGATGAAGAACATTTTGGTTTGGGAAGCATTTTTAGGATTGTTTGCTCCTCGTGCAAAAATGTGACCCAAATTTCATCTGGAAAAAGACATATAAGTACCTATGGCATAGGAGACAAAGTCAAAAGTAAAGCATCATACACATGGGATGTCAATACAAAGCTTGCTTCAGGTATCATCATAACAATTATTATACTGAAATATTTTGACAAACTGACAAAAGAATTAACTAATTATATTTATTTACCATTCTTAGAATGATGGTTTATGATAAAGTTGATATAAATATTTTTTTGAAAGTTCAATATAATGAAATACTGCTTGTGTGTGTTATTTTTAGACTTTCAAATATTTTTTTTATACAGGAATGTTACATACTGGCTTAGGTATATCTTCTGTGAATGCATTACTTGCATGTTTGAATATTCCTGGTATCTCCCATAAGTCACTGAAGGCAAGAGAGAGAGAAGTTGGAAAAAAGGTTGAAGATGTTGCTATAAAGTCTTGTGAGGAGTTTGCTGCCCAAGAAATGGAAATTTGTAAAGAGTATGTTTATTGGAATGCTTTTATAAAATGAAATGATAAATACTGATAACAAAAATTTCTTATTAAAATTAGTAATGAAATTGATTAAAAAGTTAATTTAGCCAAATAGTTTTATAAAATTTATACTTTTTCTCTGTTTCCATGTGTATTGTAAGGGAATATGTTAAATTTTTTCAATGAGGGAGTAGAAGTATCCTTCGATGCAGGCTGGCAGAAGCGTGGTAGTGGAAGATCATACAACAGTTTATCAGGTGAATTCAACATCCTTCTCTAAACTGTAATATATTCATTTATCTGACAGTAATATAAACTTTAATTTAATTAAAATTAACTGAAACTTAGAGGGTGTGGGAATAAATTGTTATGATTTTTTCATCATATAAATGCCAACATGTGCAGTATGTATGGAAATACTTTATAAATTATAATAAAACAATATTTTATAGGTCATGCCTGTATGATTGGTACCAAAACAGGCAAGATTATCAGCTACGATGTTAGAAACAAGAGCTGCCGTATTTGTTAAAATGCTGCATTGTCCGAAGAACCTCCACGGCAACATGACTGCAGGAAAAACTGGGATGGTAGTGCTAAAGGTAAAAAATATTAGCAATACAGAACTTTTAATTATATGTCATATGTAACAAAAGGTAAAATGACATATACGTGATTGCACATTACTTGCTTTACAAATAATGAGTAAATTCATATTGAAACAGGGATGGAATGTGACATGGCTGTAAGCATGCTAAAAGACCTTGAGGCCAAGAACATAAGTGTGGAGACAATTGTGATGGACGATGACACTACAACGATTGCAAGGGCAAGAAAAGAAGTGAAAGCCAGACTAAAGAAAAAGAGTGATAGTAACCACGCCAAAAAACATTTCACCAATAGATTATACGGTTTACAAATTGCCAAAAAGTACAGACAGTTGGGAACGAAGACCATAGCTCATTTAAAGAAATGTTTCAACAATATCATTGCTGTGAACAAGAACAATCCAGAAAAATTGAAGTCAAATCTAAGATCATTGACACCTCACCTTTTTGGGGACCATAGTAAGTGCAGCGAAAACTGTGGATTTGTACGGAACCCTGCTACTTATATTCTGAAGAATTTACCATATAGGAAATACCTGAGTGACAATATGCTGAAAGCAGATCTTCAAGAAACAATTTCATCATTTGCAGACCAAGCAGAGAAGTTAGCCAATTTATGTAGTTCCCAGTCAAATGAGATCTTCAACAACACTATTGCTTCAAAAGCTCCAAAAAGAATGCACTTTTCAGGATCAGAAAGTACATCATTTAGAGTTGCTGCCGCAACTGCCCATAAAAACTTAGGAAGTCATTACGTTTTGAAGGTGAGTTTGAAATTGATAGAAGGAATATGTCAGTATGGTTGAATACATTTGACTATATTATAAAACTACTTTTAGTTGATATTAGATTCATTCTTTTATTTATTTTGCATTGATTTTTTTTTCAAGGTAAATGAAGCACTTCATTTAAATAAATATTAATATAAATATAAATAAAAAAAATTTAAAAAATAAACATAGCTTATATATCTGCCAATAGATTATCAGTAATTGTCAAAAAAAGATAAATATTAGTGTATTTCTTTGTGACTGTCGACATATTTCAATATCACATACCAAGACCGGTAGTCTCCAGATCAAAGCAGATGAAAGTATAATTTTCATCTGGGAGAGTTGATATGGTGGGCAAGGTGACAGGAGGTGGTATCTCATGAATGTCAGCTGCTGTGGAAGTGTCAGCCAAGCTCACACCAGACTCATATGTGGTACCCTCCCTCAGCTCTTTGCTCTCTAGTGCTGCTTGTTTTTTGTACTTTAGGGCTGACCTTCTCTTCTTGAATGATGTGGATGACTTTCGTTGATAATCCTTGGTCCTTTTCAAGTCATGTTGTAAAATCTGTTTCTTTGTGTGTTCTCCTGGTGACAAGAGAAGTGCTTCATTTACCTTGAAAAAAAAATCAATGCAAAATAAATAAAAGAATGAATCTAATATCAACTAAAAGTAGTTTTATAATATAGTCAAATGTATTCAACCATACTGACATATTCCTTCTATCAATTTCAAACTCACCTTCAAAACGTAATGACTTCCTAAGTTTTTATGGGCAGTTGCGGCAGCAACTCTAAATGATGTACTTTCTGATCCTGAAAAGTGCATTCTTTTTGGAGCTTTTGAAGCAATAGTGTTGTTGAAGATCTCATTTGACTGGGAACTACATAAATTGGCTAACTTCTCTGCTTGGTCTGCAAATGATGAAATTGTTTCTTGAAGATCTGCTTTCAGCATATTGTCACTCAGGTATTTCCTATATGGTAAATTCTTCAGAATATAAGTAGCAGGGTTCCGTACAAATCCACAGTTTTCGCTGCACTTACTATGGTCCCCAAAAAGGTGAGGTGTCAATGATCTTAGATTTGACTTCAATTTTTCTGGATTGTTCTTGTTCACAGCAATGATATTGTTGAAACATTTCTTTAAATGAGCTATGGTCTTCGTTCCCAACTGTCTGTACTTTTTGGCAATTTGTAAACCGTATAATCTATTGGTGAAATGTTTTTTGGCGTGGTTACTATCACTCTTTTTCTTTAGTCTGGCTTTCACTTCTTTTCTTGCCCTTGCGATCGTTGTAGTGTCATCGTCCATCACAATTGTCTCCACACTTATGTTCTTGGCCTCAAGGTCTTTTAGCATGCTTACAGCCATGTCACATTCCATCCCTGTTTCAATATGAATTTACTCATTATTTGTAAAGCAAGTAATGTGCAATCACGTATATGTCATTTTACCTTTTGTTACATATGACATATAATTAAAAGTTCTGTAATGCTAATATTTTTTACCTTTAGCACTACCATCCCAGTTTTTCCTGCAGTCATGTTGCCGTGGAGGTTCTTCGGACAATGCAGCATTTTAACAAATACGGCAGCTCTTGTTTCTAACATCGTAGCTGATAATCTTGCCTGTTTTGGTACCAATCATACAGGCATGACCTATAAAATATTGTTTTATTATAATTTATAAAGTATTTCCATACATACTGCACATGTTGGCATTTATATGATGAAAAAATCATAATTTATTCCCACACCCTCTAAGTTTCAGTTAATTTTAATTAAATTAAAGTTTATATTACTGTCAGATAAATGAATATATTACAGTTTAGAGAAGGATGTTGAATTCACCTGATAAACTGTTGTATGATCTTCCACTACCACGCTTCTGCCAGCCTGCATCGAAGGATACTTCTACTCCCTCATTGAAAAAATTTAACATATTCCCTTACAATACACATGGAAACAGAGAAAAAGTATAAATTTTATAAAACTATTTGGCAAAATTAACTTTTTAATCAATTTCATTACTAATTTTAATAAGAAATTTTTGTTATCAGTATTTATCATTTCATTTTATAAAAGCATTCCAATAAACATACTCTTTACAAATTTCCATTTCTTGGGCAGCAAACTCCTCACAAGACTTTATAGCAACATCTTCAACCTTTTTTCCAACTTCTCTCTCTCTGCCTTCAGTGACTTATGGGAGATACCAGGAATATTCAAACATGCAAGTAATGCATTCACAGAAGATATACCTAAGCCAGTATGTAACATTCCTGTATAAAAAAAATATTTGAAAGTCTAAAAATAACACACACAAGCAGTATTTCATTATATTGAACTTTCAAAAAAATATTTATATCAACTTTATCATAAACCATCATTCTAAGAATGGTAAATAAATATAATTAGTTAATTCTTTAGTCAGTTTGTCAAAATATTTCAGTATAATAATTGTTATGATGATACCTGAAGCAAGCTTTGTATTGACATCCCATGTGTATGATGCTTTACTTTTGACTTTGTCTCCTATGCCATAGGTACTTATATGTCTTTTTCCAGATGAAATTTGGGTCACATTTTTGCACGAGGAGCAAACAATCCTAAAAATGCCTCCCAAACCAAAATGTTCTTCATCAATAATGTCTTTCAGATGCAATGGTTGATGGCATGTAATGCATCCCTGATAAAGTTTGTCTGCCAGAAATGGTATTTCAATTACTCTTCTGCCTTCCTTCCAATTTAACTTTCTGGGATTTTCTGTATTAAAATGCATTTTATTACAATGTGTATTGATTTGATTTTAATGACAAAGCAATATCTCATTATGATATATTTTATGATTATGATATATTATGAAAAAGTCACTCATTACCTGAACTTCATATAACATGTTCATTTGCCTTTGGTAAAATTTTACCACATAAGGATATAATTCATAGTTCAAATATAAACAACATGATAATATTTTAAAAAAAAATACCCTGAAAATATTGTGCATCTTCTAGATCCATATCACCATCATTTGCTTCCAGTGTTGTAATCCGCCCATGGCTCTTGGGATGAGTGAGATTCTTCTCTCTGTGAAAACATAAAATAATGAAAATTCTTAGATTAATCTATGGCCCCCCTTTGCCCCATTTATATATATTTCCTGTTGCAAATTTTCTTATTGAGTTTTATCAAATAATTATTTTCCTTTTTATTTATTATTTTATGGTGAAAAGGAAACAATTCGTCTCTTCACTCATCTTTTACATGTTTATAAGATAGATTAAATTTTAATAATAATGAAATAAATTACCCGAATGAAACTGTGGAATTGTCATTTGGCGGGATTTCGAACACTGGTGCTGATGATAAACTCACTACTTGGAGAGGTGTTTTCTTTTTGGAGAAATATGCATGATCGTGTAGTGCATGCACTTCAAACGGCATATGTGAAGAAACATCGTTGCTGTTGTTGTTATTTATATCAATAGAAATATCTTTTCCCTGTTTTTCACTAATAAATCGCCCGTTCTTGTCTCTACGTTTCTGGATGTCTATTATTACCTTACTTGAATGAAGAGCGCGTTTTATGAACGATAACTCCTGAAAGAGTTACGTGACATTAGAGTGAAAATCTTTTTTGTGTAGAGATAGAAACAGTCTAAAATGGCAGCGACCCCCGAGCCTCGTTAAGGGTTCCTCCCCTAACAGATCTAGAGTGTCGATGCGAAATACAAGAAAATCCAGAGTGGATTACGGCGAGTAAATGCCGGCCCCTTTAATAACAACAATCCTGACTTTAAATAATTATCATTTTTCACATATTAAGAGATGAACTTACCTCTGTGTTAAAGAGGGACATCTTGAACCTCTTGAAGTAATACCACTCCTCATGTTCCTCTTCCTCTGCCAGTTCGGAATATTTATCCTCCGCTTCATAACCAAACGAGTCAAACACTTTGTCTTTATTGAACAGAATACAGGTGGGGGTTTTAAGGGACTCCAGACCCCGGTAGCTATAGCCTGCTGTCCATTTGTTGGAGCTGACCTTCAAAGGGTCGTTCTCGTAGTCATGTCTATAGGAAAATGCAATGCCGCTGTACGTAGTACCAAAGTCAATGGCTGCCACCAGCGCCTTTCTGTTAGAGGGCATGTTCTCTGTGTCCCAAGCCTGACATAATAAATTACATGTATTGATGAGGATTTCTTAACCAAGAACTAATATGTCCAGAGAATACAGTAAATAAGAAAAAAAGAGAAGAAATAGACCCTAATTTAACCAAATATCAATGTCTGTGGGTACAAATAATATGATCGATCCGTTAAAATAATATAACTTACTTTTGCCTCTAGCATTTCTTTTGATGATAACTTTGGTTTCTTCACTTCGTAACCATTTTCCTCTGTTGTGACAGATAATGGTATTAAATATCCGAATAGCTTGTAAAACTGCTCTGTGTCTATTGTCCTTGAACTAAAAGTTGGTATTGATATTTGAATTTTTGGAGGTAGTTTGCTAAATTCCTTGGTGCGTGAGATGTACTCCATGGTCAAAGATACATCATTTGAATCTTCAGTTTGTTCAAGATTTCGAAGTGTTTCTTCAATAACAGTCTGTATCTGTTTGATTTCATTCAAATGCTCCTTTAGAATACTCTTATGTTTCGTTTTTTCCTTTTCTATTTCCATTCTTAATTTTTCAACAATCACGTCAACTTCTCTGTGCCATTCTTCACCAAATTCAATCAACGTTGATGTAAGATTTTCATATTTCCCATCTAGGTTAGCTATCTGGGATTCTATTCCTTCTGCAATTTCTGCATACGTTGGAGAAATTGAGTTTTCTAATTCTTCAGAATCTTTTCCAATAGCTTCCCTCTTTGAATAAAAGAGATCAGAAAGAGGTAAAACTGTATGCCCTCTGTGTTTATCAGATGTAGCACACAGAGAACATACAGAGGTCCCGCACGTTTTACAGTGAAACTTGCTGCCTCTTTTTTGATGTGATGAGCACTTAGGATAGATTAAAGTTGACTTCTTTTGTTTGAATGGGACCACTTTATGTTTGTCATAGTCATCAGAAATATGTTTTCCTATACAAGGAATACACAGATTGACATGACAGAAATCACAGTACTTCTGCACTTCAGCTGTCTGACAAAGGTCACAACGGATGACATCTTGTGCACTCGTACGAGGATCCATACTAAATCTAAAATGTTAGAAGTACAAATGTACATTTATCTTGGAAGAATCTCATCTTTTCTTTACTTATACTTAGATTATTTTTTTAATATCGTTTAAATTTAAAAGCAAAAGTAGTTTAAAAATGCTTCATATATCATATATTATTTCCTGCATAAGTCATTTTATACTGATTCATTCAAAGCATTTATAAAAATGTAAGGAAGCTTTTAATGGAGATTATTTCAGACTGTCGTCAAAAACTTTCATTTCATTGTACATGTTGTAGATGGACAAATGTGACTCCCTCTTTTATAAATTTTCAAAACATCATCCAAAAAAAGTATTATAAGGTATTTATATTTATTGCTTCCAGCAAAGAAAATGAGTATGTAAGGCAATACCTTCATATAGAGAAATTTCTATTCCGTCTGGCAATGGACGCCCTTCTTATCAAAAAGCTATCTTCATGTAAACATTAACTGTTGTCAGGAGAGTTATCCTTCTTGTGTTGTATGATTATTATTTTTGTTCAAAACTGATAGAACGAGGTGAAAAAATGGGGCATCAAAGACTCATGTTGTGTTCAAATAAAATGTTCTTAATAGATTACTA